TAAAACCTATCGATGCATAGTAATAAATGAAGAAGTAGATTGTTTAACCACATTGATTAATCTTCTAAAATAAAGAACAAAATATTTTGAATTGTGACAAAATCACCGACACGTCAGCTTCAAATGGCTTGTGAAAAAGACTGCATTGACAGATTGAAATAAACATCTGAGAGTATTCTAATGAAACACAAAATGTCAAAATTTTAATTCATCTACTGGTTAATAGGTGTAGTTTTCAAAACTTTTCAGCCAATCTGAAATTTGAGTTGAATATTATACACAGTACTTTTATTGTGTTTATTACAGTATTTTTTAGAGTAGATAGTGGGGTTTTAAGCTATTTTTGATCAAATGGAATATGTTCTATTAATACCATACTACTACTATATGAGTAGTTGATTACTACTAACGCCTTTTGCTTTATAACCTTGATACATAAATATAATATAAACATACATACTTTACTTTTACTACTAGTATAAGCGGGCTAATTGGTCATTTAAATAGGAACTATAATTTATTATTTAGATTAAAACAAATTATATTTTATTGAAGTACTATTTTAATATTTCGACTCTCTTCGATAGTCATCTTCTATCATCTTCTATTCTACTATATTTTTACTAAGCCCAGAAGCTTTATTGTATTAAGATTATAAAAGTATATCAATGTAACTACTAACCTTCAATTATTTTCAATTTCTTCAATAAAGGTAAATTTTTATATAATGCTAAAAATATAAATATTTGAAAAGTATTTTTTTTCGTGCTGAAAACACATAACAATCTTTAAAACTTGCCTTAAAAGAGATAAAGTTAAACATCTCGAATTTAACCTTCTTTAGACTCATCTGTTCTGTCCATGTAGTCTTATGAAGTCAAGTGTATTTCATAACAATGTAGAAAGGCAAACAATATAAAAAGTGTAAACCTTTCATCCTATATACTTGGATTCATAACAACGTATTGGCAAAGTGAAAACTAAATGTTCAAGGATATAAAGGCCAATGCATATGTGTTTAAGAGCAAAGAAGCTTATGACCTTTTTTGCAGTGTTTTGTTAAGGGTACGAAACAAAAGCAATTGCACTAAAGTAGATAGGTCTAACAACGCCCACATCCTTTTGACTTGTGTGCACTACTGTGGATAAGACCAGGCAGACATGTATGTACACAGTAACGGATAATGTTGTGTCAATTTTCCTCCTTTAATCGCCATAAATCCTACAATGCACTTAAGAGTAAAAATGTGTGGAATACATAGAAAAGTGTAAATTTGCATAAAAAAGTCTTTAAACAAATTCATTTTCTAATGCATTTCGATTATATTTTATGCCTTTTATGTCTTTTTTGCACTTTCACACTTCGAGTATCTCAAGGTTTTTTGAATTCTATTTTTACAGAGGAATCTGCTTAAGCGCATCTGTTAATATATATCAATAACTGATAGACTTTGTAATTTGCATTTGAAAGAAATTTTATTGTTTTAATGCACCAACAATGCATAATACTTGATTGTATTTGACATTTGAATTTTTTGATATCAATTGATCTTTATTCACTTTAAGGCAATATTTTGGCAGAATATATTTTTCATAATTTTACAAACTATATTGGCGACACTTTTTTGCTATGTGCTTTAAGATTGGTTAAATCACGTCATGAAAGTCAGTCTCGTAATACACATAGATCTGGTAGTCTGTTCTGTTGTATATTAAGACTCTTAAGCTTTAAAACACCTTCGAAGCTACAACAAGGAATTTTATTTTTTACTTGAAGAGATCTTACAACTGACTAACACCTACTAGAGAGTAACTCCCAGGTTGGTAAAATCTACGATACATTTTAGATTAGATTTGAAGCAGTTTCTTTATCTACCTCACAGCTGCAGATAGGAGGGCAATATTCAATCACTTACTACATTTTCCTAACAGACTGTGATCTATCCAGTAAGTTTACCTTAAGACTAAAATCTTTTCGCATCACCTCAATGAGGTCATTCGATTTAATTTCCATTTAAGACAGCTCCTCATAGTAAAAGATGTTTGCATATCATTGATTATAATCTTCTTAAGTAATCCTACAGGGAATAATTCCAGAATTAGTTACGTGCTGGTTAATATGTTATTAGTATGTTTCAAATATTATTCAAAAGAACTCAATGTGAATCTGAAATTCAAAAAATTTTTCACTCATGAATGTGTTAGTTATAAGACTATAACTTGTGTTCATAAGAGTATAATATATTTACAAATGGATTTGACAAGTTGAACAAGTAGTTAAAAAAGCTTCTAAGAGTAAGAAAGTTTTTGCCATTATTGTTTTCAAATTAATGTAAAATTACGAAACCTTTATGACTTATTGGTCAAAATTCACAATTTCCGCAGCAAATCGTTTTCTACAAAGATTGGGTATACGTTACGAAATTCTGAGATTGTCTCACAAAGAGTAACATAAAAACTATTTAGTATTTCTTTAAGTAAATTTTTTAAAATATTGTTAATATTCTCAGAAATATAACATATAAAACTGAATTCCATTGTGAAGTAAGCCTTTCAATTGTAAATCACTAAATTGGTCGAAACTCATCACAATGAGTTTCGACCAATCAACTCAGCCAGTTTATCAACGAAGAAGCTTTCATCTGTTTAGTATAAGTGACCTCAAATCTCGACTACAATAAGTATATCCCTTTAAGCCAGTAGTTAAAAGTAAAAACAATTATTTGACTGAGTTGATTGGTTAATTATTAAGTTAATTGGTCATGACAAACATAAGTCGCTCTTCGCCACGTCAGCTAGCCTCCACTAGCCAGCCCGATCAGTGGCTTGTAGTCGCCAGTTGGTCTCATAGTTCTTTTACTGAAGATGCGGGCGTCTCCTATCGCGTTTTCCAAGGTGATTTCCATCACCTTTCTAACTGGAGCATTTTTTCCATTCGCACGATATGACCAAACCAGCGCAGCCACTAAATTTGTATGTATTTAACTATTTAAATATAACAATATAGCTCATACCGCTTATCGTTCCATCTAATTCGGTACTAATGGCCCACGTTTAGTGGACCACTGATTTCGAAGAATATTTTTCTCGAATGTTTCCAAGGCCTTTTCATCACTGTTGGTAGTTGTCCAAATTTCTGTATCATATAGCAGGACAGATATTTTCAGAAACCTGTTAAGCGTGGTTTTTGTTTGTCAAGACAGGACTATTTCATAATAGCCTACTTTGTCCAAAGCAACATTTGTTGGTAAACGTGATTCTTCGTTGATTTTGTAGGCTGACATCATTTGATTACTTCACATTTTTGTTATTGTAGAACGAGTTGGTTAGTTATAGGTATGTTAGGACATGTTGTTGATTCCAACGTTACTTAACGTTATTTAAAACGTTACTTAAAACATTTTCCATATATTTATTATTCAGTTAAAATAACATATCATATCAATCGATCATTCCACAAGAATAAAGAAGTTTAACCTTCTATTTTTCGTTAAGTATAGACTTTTTCTTTGAAAGGAGCTGTTTCTTTTTTTTTAAACATAATTATTTTTTTTAAAACGAATTGGTACTTTAAATATTTCAAAACAGATTATTTTCTAAAAAGAGAAAAGTAGTTGGATTTTTCTTTCTTAAACGTTAGCTATTTTCTTCCTTTCTTTTTTTTTCTTAAAAAAGAAAAGTTGGTATTGGTACTGCTTTTGTTTCTTATACAGAAAGTAATATCTTCTATGTTTTGTATCAAAGATAGATTAACTTGCTCTAAAATCCCCTGGTGCATTCAATGTCTTTCTATATTTACTTACTAAAATTAAAATCTTAACTATATTTGTTGTACATATATTGAGATAGATACATCATCTAATCCACCTGCTTAAAGAATTTTGATGTTAAATATTAAAATTTGTTGACAAGTTTTAGAAAGTTATATCTCTTCTATTCGCATTTTGAAACCATGAAATTAAAAAACTGCTGAAAACTAATTCATTAATTCACAACCAAATCGGTAACAAAGTAATTAGCTGCGATGGAGTAATTAGTTGCCGTTGCACTAATTTTGTAAAATCAGACTAAAAATATTTGAAATAACTTTTTGCTTGTTCATTTAAATTTTAAAGTCCGAAACTTTCTAAATACCAAACTCGAGAGCAAATTGTTGTTGTAGTTTTATGAAATTTACCAAAAACCAACAAACTGAATATTTTAGTTTACGGCGCGTAATAGAGGACGAACGGAGTGAAAGCGTTTCCTCCTTAAACAGATTTCCAGTACACACCAGAACGTAACAGATTTCGACTGCCCAACATGGTTTCACACTTTGTTGTTGAGTGAATTTTCGCCATTCACCGACGGTTTTGTGTTTTCAGAGAGGAGGCAGACTGTTTGGTTCATGGTTCAGATGTAATTAAGTGATGCAGATTTGTTGTTGGCAGATGGATGTATGGCGTATTTGCCCCTTGCATATTTAAATAATTCCAAAAAAAAGAAATATAAAAAAAAAATTAAAAATAAATAAAAATAAAAACATAAAGCACATAGCTCTGCAGTTTGTATGAGAGAAGAACCGAACCAAAAACTGGTGACCCATATTTTGAGAAATTCGCAAAGTATTTCTTTTGCTCGGAATTTGCTTTGAGTTTAATTTTTTGCTCTGCTGATTAAAATTAAACAAAAAAAAATAAAAGAACTGGTCGTAAATTTTAAATAAAATTGAATGTTGAATTCAATTAATTTAATGTTCTTTAAATAAATGAATGGTTTCGGCCTTCAGAAGTCGGTTATCAAGATTTGTGCGTTAGTTTTTAGAATATTATTTAAATTAAATTCTATTAAAAAACAATTAAAAAATATCAGAAATTTTTTTTTAATTATTTCAGTAATTTTTTTTATAACTTTTCTGAAAATTTTAAATTAATTTTCATTATACAATACAATTCAATCTCATACTTTTTTTTATATATTAAATTTCGTATGTATTATTCATGAATCTTTTTTTTTTACAGAAAAGAGTCGATGCAGACCTCTTCAATAACGAAAATAATTATGAAAAGAAGTCAAATGATAATACAGAAGCTCACAATAATAACAATGATAATTACAATAACAACAAAAGTCACGAGGAGCAGGATGATGCCTTTCATCGTTGGCTTACTTCCACTGAAAAAAATAAAAAACCTGGAAAACAAATCAGTGATGCGGATGTCAATAGCAACTATGACAATGATGAAACAACAGTTTTTGATTTAACAGACACGTCGGATAATAATAATCTGAATGAAAAAGACATATCAGCAAATAGGAAAACATATGAGACCGCAGAAATGCCTCAAACAAAAAATGCGGAAAATGGATTTTTTCGCAGCTCCTTCAATGATTACAGTAGTGAATTCAATGGGAGTGTCGTAAATATTGACATTTTGCTAACAGCAGCAGATGACCCACAACATTCGCAAACAATGCAAAAACAAAAGGATGAACAGCAACAACAATTGGTATTGCCAAATGATGAGGAAGTGCAGAAGGAGTCGATAATTGTGGAAGCGGATTTAATATCGAATCCGACCAGTGCAAAAACATTGCCAACTATTCCAAATACAATACAAGCAACTGTAGTAAGCAACAACAACAGCAAGCACTTACCCACAATGCCAACAGTCTTCTCTGCAATGGCAACAGTTATAGCGACAACAGAGAATATTGCGGATTTCGCAAACAAACTTAATTCGGTGACAGTGACAACGACAAGTAATCTTACAACAACAACAACACTAAGCCCCGATAGAAAATGTAATGTAATGGGTAAGTCGAGGATTGATTATTTTTACAGAGATTTTCAATATTGCGAAATAGGTTTTGAATATTTTATTGTTTATAAAAATAAATGCATAAATGACAATCACAATGAACATTTTAAACTCAATCATAACTAAAAGAATATTCTGAAGTTGACTTTTTATGCTAGCATTTATCTACATATATATAACTATTTGCATTTTATATTATAACAATTTCTCAATAGTTTCAATAAAAATAATTCTAAATATTAAATTTTTAAATTCATTTGTCTACTATTAAAACGTGTTAATAGTACTAAGTAAATTTTCAAACTTTATATGTAAATAACACAAGTAAATAAACCGAGTTGTATAAACTCTTCAAACAACATCTATGAAGAATCTTGCTCACCTGGTGACCTCAGAGAATATTCAATATCGATCTATGGGCTCATATTACAGCACCAAATCGGCTACATCGATAGACTAGAGCAACTGAAGAAATTCAGAAATAAGGTTGGATAGGTGCACCCTAATAAGACCAAATAAATGTATTACCCGTCAAGTATTGAACTAGAATCCGCAATATTCTAGATAATTCACTACAGCAGCTATAACTTGGTGAAGCAGAGTTCGTACATTGATGTTTGGTAATACTTCATGGAATTACACCTTTATCTACTCATATGTATAATAAAGTTTAATTTAAATCCATAACAGAGGCTCTTTGCTACACTTGGGAGGAAAAAATTCCATATAAGTAGAGCTTCACTAATAAGTAAATTAATTTACAATCTCTACCCCCAAAATATAGATGTAGATAGCTCACATTATAATTTTAGATATTAAATATCTGATAAGCATTCAACTCTTAAAGATAAGTCATATTTTTCAGTTTTGCTTAAAAGCAAATAGCATTCGCACAATTTTGCAGTGCTTCAGGTTATAACTTATGAGATCCAAGGAGAGCATATATGTAGGTCACTCACCCTACACTCGCTATATTAAACAGAGATTCGTTGCTTATTATTTACGTTTTCTATCAATAAAACATATATTATTTATTACTCTTAAAAAAAGTGATATGTTATCCTATTATAATGAAACAAAATGTCATTAATTCAGTGTAGTAAGATTATATATAAAAGTTATTCAAATAGAGAATATAACTATAATAAGTTAGACTATCTTTAATATAATATACGTCACAATACCAATGAGTAATTGTTCCATAAAGCTGCCTCAGAGTCGAATTAGAACATAAAATAAGTCCAGACCACATCATCTCTTAACATTTATTGGTATCATCTCTCAAAACATTAACTTTTACTATTAAATTCAAAAGAGTTAACTATTGATTGCAATAGGATTTTGAAGATAATAAATCTATATATCAATAGTAAAGAAATGAAAAGTTAGAAACATATGAAAAGTTGGATTATTTTTAATTTTGTATCTGCTGCAGTTTCCAATAGCTTTAGTCCGTAAGTCCAGTTGGAATTTAAGACAGTATAATATATATCTTATTTTCAAGTGACAATTTGATATTTTGATTGTGGTGTCAAAATGAGTTCCGTAGTTTGAAGCTTGAAGCTTGATCAATATATTTTTGAATGCAATTGAATCAATTTTTGCCTCTTTGAAGTTGGAACTTCCGAAACCAGGGGTATTGGTTGTCTCAACAACCAGTTCGGGTATAAAAACCCGCTCTCCATGCATTGTTTTCTTAATGTTTCTGAATAAGAAGAAGTCATATAATGTTGAGTGCTGAAAAATTTTTTTGTTTGAGCTGATGTGTGGAAGGTCACATTGTTGTGGTGGAGGATAATTCTCTTTCGACAGTTGGTTGTCCTCAATTCTCTGAAAACTTTCAGAAAACAAATGAGTATAAGTATCATATGACACTCAATCAGGTATATGTATATAGGCAATGGTCACAATTGTTGATTTAGAAATTCAAATATTGTGGTGCAAAAATGGTTAATTTTTATTTTAATATTATTCTGTTCGAATGCAATGAAGTCGCTGCACCAAACGATTCAAGAATTATAAAATTGTTGATTAATAGTTTAGACGGGTCGAATAGACTTTTCATGGGCAATATCTCTGGAATCATTAACGCAAATATATATAGTCTTTACTTTTGGCATATTCAAATGATAGTTTTTGGGTTTTATCCCATCTTTTGGTATTTTTGACAGTTGAAATTATGGTTAAAGGGGTACTTATAAACAATTTGAGGTACGCCGATGATACAGTGCTTATTGCCGACTGAATAGAGGGCTTACAGAACCTTTTAGACGCTGTTGCATTAAAGTGCAGAGCTTAAAAATTAAATATAGCTTAAAATTAAATTGCAGTAAAACCAATATATAGTGGTGAGTAAACGACCCAATTCTGGAGGAAGATTAACAGTATTTGGTTCTGCCATAAAAAGAACCGATATGTACAACTACTTGGGAGGGCAGCTTAATGAGCAATGGGATAATAGTAAAGAATTTTGTGTCCGATTTGAAAAAGCAAGGTCTTCTTTTATTAAGATGAAAAACTTGCTGTGCACACGAGAGCTGTTATTACCGCTCAGAATAAGAATGCTGCGATGCTATAAATTCTCTATACTCCTCTACGGGACAGAGGCGTAGACGCTGTCTGTTGCATCGATGAATAAACTCGAGGCTTTTGAAATGTGGTGCTATCGACGTATGCTGAATATAAGCTGGACAGAAAAAATTATAATTATACAGTGGTACTTCGGCGTGTCAACAAAGAGACAGAAATATTAGAGACAGTAAAACTCCGTAAGTTAAAGTTTTTTAGTTATATGCTGATGCATCCGGAAAATTACAGACTATTGAAATTAATCATTGAAGGCAGAATAGAAAGCAGACGTGGCCCTGGAAGACCAAAAATATCATGGCAGAAGAATTTACGTCAATGGTATAATAAAAGTACAAGATCATTTTTTCGAGAAGCTGTAGATAAAGTCAAAATAGCAATCATGTTAGTCAACGTTCGAAGCGGACAAGACACCTAGAAGAAGAGGAAGAGTTTTTCCGCTTTATCTGTAATCTATCGGTAATCTAATCGGTAATTCAATCGGTCTGCGATACTTTGGTTGGATGTTGAAGAATCGATCTAAAAAAGCTACTGCAAACAGTAGTAGCTTTTTTAGTAGTAGGAAGTAGCAAGTTTCGAGTACAAGTTTCGAGTACAATTAAAGTTTTCCTTATTTGGTTTAACATGTATATATCTCTTCTTGAGAATACTTAGTTTAATTTACATATAAATATAATTAATTCTTATGACGTGTGTGTGAAAAGTTTTGCATCTAACATAGAAAAGAATGTTTTTAAATTTCTTAATTGGGTCTCCTTTAAGTTGGTTTCTAACATTTCAAAAGTTTAATATTCATGTTTAAAATTATAATAAATGTAACTAAATACATTCTATCTTTAATAGAAAAGTGTATTAAATATTTCTTTTTGTTTTTTTTACATTTCTGCATAAAATTCTCTAACACCATTTGAAATTAATTTATGGTTTTTTACTTTTCAAAGGTAGTTTAATTTTAATACTTTAAAGCTTTTATTAAGTGTTTTTATTAAATTATTTGCTTGCCCTAGGAATTATGTTACAGGAAATAGTACTTAAATAATTTAGAAGACGTAAAATGTTTTTGAAATGTTAATTTTCTGCAAATTAAATTAAAATCTATTGCCAGCATTTAAAGGCACAAGATACATAAAGACACATAAATCAAAATTTTACTGAGACAATTTGGCTGAGTTTCTTAATTTCATTTCAGGAAATAAATTTCTTAAACTTAAACTTTAATGGTCGTTTTAAGGATACTTTATCTAAGTGAAAACACAGTGGAATACTTTAATATAAGAGTCGAGAGTGAATCGTCCTCCCACAGGAATATTTAAAACTGAAATCAATGTAGATGGTGTTCGTGTTTTTATGAAGAGGAAATTCGTTTTAGGAGGAGGATAAAAATTTGCATTTTTTATGTTGGCAATTAAAAAAAAAGTTGTTAATATCAAATGAATATATTTAAATAGGGGAAAATGTTTTCCTTACAAATAGTAACAAATTAAATGCTTTAAAAAATAAATAAAGTAGAGTAAACTCCTGCGGTTATTTATTCCAAGAAATATTGTATAATTTAATACAGAGAATAATTTTTGAGTTACTAATTGGTATTTGTAAGCACAACTTTAAGGAGAGTAAAATAAAGTTTTTACCAAATATGCTAAATTTCTTTAATTTCTATTAAAGTAAAATCCAGTATCGATTTGAACAAATATTTAATAAATTTGTAAAATAAAAGCTTAAAAATAATTTATGCATATTTATTCATATAATTTGTGTATGAACATGATTAAATATATATGCTTATATATATTGTATTCAGCTTTATATTTCTTCCAAGTTTCAAGTACCTTATAAGTACTTCTTATAAGAGTCCTCAATGGACTGCAGTGCTTTTTTTCATAAACATAGTAAGGAGTCATTAAATGGTGCTTAGATTTTCTCTACTTTAAAGTCAATTTCTTTTTATAGACTTTTATTTATTTTTATTTTCAACCTAGGGCGCGTATATGTGTTAAGATTTGGTAAATATATTTAAGTTCCTACTAAGCACTTTCCTAATATTTTTAGCAAAAGTTATTCATTTTTGGTCTGAGGAATTGTAGCGTTACTTTGCGAAAAAATTGGCTTTAGGCTGTGAAAGTTAACATGGGCCTACATATGTACTATGTACGCCATAATAAAGTCATAATGTGTTAACCGTCATTTTCTCTTATCAACACAACAACACACACTTAAATGTGCTCAAGAGATTTAGTAGGAAGGTTTTGTTTTTTTTTTTGTTTTGCAGTGTACATTTTTGCCTTCTTTCAAACTTTCTACATATATATTCACATTATGAGGTCGTAGGTATTTTCCTTCTTTTCTCATATATTTTTTTTGATATTCATTACCATAATAAGCTTTTCATATTTACTTTTTGTATTGCAC